TAACAAAAACTAGACAAGAATATAATGTGCAACTCCCATCTGGCCTTGCATGTCTCAATGAAGACTTCTAGTTCCATACAACAAAATCAAAAGAGCTCTGCCTTTCGTGCTGAATTGAGAGGTGCTCATCGTATCTTCTGCCACTTTTAGCAGTCAAATTTTAATTTCAATGCAAGAAAAGAACACCATTTTAATTTAAGAACAAAGAAAGAAAAGTAAACGAAATTTTACTTATGTGGTTATATAGCTTTGTAAGATACTCTTTAGGGGGACAAAGCCCTCTTATTTCACCATTTCAGGGGAATTTTTTTATCAAGTGCTTACCTAATACTTTAAACACTGGTTTTTAACTCTGAAAAACAGGAGCAGCACGGATGGAGGAGCTATGGAGTGCCATGAACACAACACCATGCACTGTCCCTACCCAAGTGTTTCAGTATTTCTACAGCATTTCAGTTACAGAAAAGAACTCTCCACAAATTTCCCATCTTACTTGTCAGGAAATGGAGGTGGAGATGTAAAATGAATTTTCAAAGAAGGTAGGAAGCAAACAACAGGACTGTCACTAGAAACCAGCAGTTGTAAATTCTAGTGCAGCCAAAGCGTGGGATACCTGACTGTCATGGGCAAAGGCCATATGGACAATTCAGACCAGACTGTTTTCTGATGTCTGCAGCAAAATGAGCAGCCAGTAGATAAGAGTGGGATTTATCTCCTCTAATTTTAGGTTGAGTAGAGAGAGGGTCCCTTTGAGGTCAGTAAACAGAAATAGTCATCTGTAGGGTGCGACTCACTTGTCTTGCTTTAGATGCCAACTATGTGGACAGCACGATGTCCACAGTGGTCAGCCGAAGAGCACCCATAGTGTCACATTTAAAATCTCTCTGATTAAGAAGAGACAACTGGGATAGAAACAGATCTCAAGACACGACAACTCCCAAGGTTGGGACAATTCAAACCCAGAATGAAATTTCCAGTTGGCTTCCTGGAGATAAAATTTTAAAATAACTTAGTCAATTAAAGGCTTATGTTCCATTTTCATAGCAACTGGAAGCCTACGTTTTCATACAAATCTATCTCCCAGATGCTACTTGACAGTTCTGCAAATTTTATCCTACGAGAAAGCTTTTTGCTCTACGGCACTTCAGGGATGTGATTCTGCTATCCTGTACAGCCAACAGAGAGAGGTGGGTGCCTTCAACACCTCACCGGGACTCTCGCTTCCTGTGCAGTCCTGTGGGTGTAAGAGTGGAGGGCCTGCAACTGCCTTAGCCCTTTTTTCTCCGTAAAATGAGGGAAATGTAAACACTCCACATGAAATCTGACTGTCTCCACACTTGGAACAAGATAAAATTGGAATCCAAACTCTAAAGTTTAATCTCAGTTCCTTGTCTTCTTACAATATCTCTCAGATGCTTAAAATGAAGCAGAAATCTACTGTCTCCAGCCTTCATTCGTGTGACAGTCTAAACCCATCTGCAACCCCCATTTCAGGTTGCTGAACCCCCTGTTTCCCAACCTGCCCGAGCTGCACAAAGCAGACCCCCCCTCCCGGCCCCCATCTCCGGGCTCCCCTGCTCCCCAGACAGGTTAAACAAACAGGGAGATCCCTCCAGGGAAGTCACAGGTTCAAGATCACAAAGGACGCACCGCGTTTGGGCCAGTCGGAGGTTTTTCTTGCTATTGTGCTTATCTGTATCTTCACTGTCATCCAGACGTTAACCTCTGACCCGCGGGCTCGCCTCTCGAAAAAGCCTTGCGGTGTTTGCCCATTATGTAATGTCTGTGCTTTTGTGGAAACTCTACAGAAACAAACGGAGGAAGTTTGCCAGTCAAACGGCCGGACAATAAATCCTGTCCCGTGTAGATAGAATGGCTTACTGTCACTGTTAGCCTGCTACTGGCATCTGTCACCGAAGAAATATTTACAAATTTCGACGTGCTGGAGTGTCAAAATGTTCCAGCTTTGCAGGGCTGTACGTGATTTGTAAAACCACCATCACTGTGCTAGACAGCGGTCTCCTTGTTTTGCTAGCCTGAATAAACACGGTGACAATGTTTCAGATACCTCAAGGTCAGTAATGTCCAATTTCTATGTCTGTTCACCTCCTAGGTCCATGAATACAGGTACCCAAATGCTAGTTTGTTCATTGTAATGCTTCTTCTGCTCTAAGATCTCTTTGCTAGAAGTTTAATCCAGGTAGGCAAACTGTCTTCAGACCCCTTTGCTTATTTCTAATAGGTCCTTTATTATTTATACACTATGTCTTCCCATGCTTCCTTACCATCCATTTTCTTCACAGCCCCTGCTGTCTCTCCTCTTTCTGTACTATTTCCCCTTTGGGACAAGACATTACATTAAGTTACCTTTCTGCACAGTGTCATCAGAATGCCTTCTACCGTGTGATGGGGGCTTCTACGCACCATCAACTATAAAGTTGGGACAATGGAAAGATGAGTTTGAATAAAAAGCAGGAGCAAACATAATTTGACACAGTGGGTCAGACAGGTAACATAATTCTTCCTTCACTGACTCTTTCAACCAGGGGCCTGATTCTGCTGCCAGTGAACGGAGCTTTTCACTCTCGATGTCAATGGGAGCGGCACTCAGTCTTAGAGTTCTGCTATAATTAAGCTTTCAAATCTCATTTCCTTTCAGAGGAGAGAAAACATTGTTGTGACTAAGCTTTGGATGTGGTAACAAATCCCTGGCAGGTTGGTCTGTTTTAAAGGACGTATTATTTTTAAGGAAACTTTTACCATCTTTTCTGCCCTTAATCACAGCTTTTATTACAATTACGGTAATGCAACAGATGTACACGCCAAAGGCAATATGTATATTTTTAATGAGTTGACATGCAACCTTCCTGGAGAGGAGACACTTCATTTGCTGAAAAACCGTATCTAGCAGTTTATTAAGGGGCAAGGAATCAACAAGGAAAACATTTACAACAAATTCAGAGGCTTCAGTAACTCACAGATGAGCAGCCCCGTAAGACCGACTCGATTGTTGTGCTAGGTTGAGCACATTTTTTACTGAATGGTTACATTTTCTGTTGTCCGCAAACAATACAAGAGAAGGTTAACGGGCAATATCCGGAAAGCGCTAAGATTATTAATCCACACATGTGGTCCTGAGTCACTGGGCTGTAAAACATCATCAGTTCCCAAAGATGAAACCAAAGGAGAATTCTGCTCAAGAGAGATGATATCACAGGCCCAGAGGAACTAGTTGCATCAATAAGGCCTATTTATGCAAGTTTTACAAGACATTGGCTCACAGGAGTTTTCATTCTGGTATAATGAATTCAGTCCATAAATTGAACACAGGCAAAGATCTCATCCTATGAGCACAAGAGCCTTCAGCCTGGTTTCTTGCCTCAATTTACCTTGCAGCTTGGACACAGATCATAGATTGGTGCACACAGAAAGTTACAACTGGCTGCCACACACGAACCACCAGGGACTAAAGAGCTTGGAGAGTCAGGCTCCAGCAGAAGCACACAAAATCCGTTCTGTTAAATCATTCCTGCGACTGTACTGCTGAGGTCTGGGCCAAACAGCCCTCAAAAACAATGGCTGGCCACACTTTTTTGGAGGTTAATGCAGGCCAAGGACCATTTCCAATAGAACCCTGGATGTGGATGACCTATTTTGAGAGGTAAAAGTTTATCTGTGGGGACCAGAGAAGGATTCCTGGCTTGCGGAGATGTGACCCCACAGACCTTCACATACCTTTCTCTGAGACTAAATTATCAAAGGAAGAAGCCTGAAAGCCTAGCGTACGTACGACTGCATGCTTGCTTTCTCCTTGGTCATCATAAAACTGCCATGAATGAATAGGAATCAAAGCCACAGTCCATATGACTCCCGTCAGAATTTTACATCATCGGCCAGGGGCCTGACTGTGGCAGGCACAGGGCACCGCAGCGGAGCGACTGTCGTCATGCCAGGTTTGTACAACGTGAGCGGGGCTGTCTGGGTTTGGCAGTACGAACCCTCACTGCCCATCCTGCCTTCAGTGTCCATACGGTCCTACAGCGAGCCACCAACACAGACCAACACATCCAGACACCCGCCAAAGGTACAGGAGCTCGCTGCAATCACAGAGTGACTCTGGCACATCTGTTTGGACCATTACTAGGTAAAATTTAACTGATAGAAGACAGAGCACAACTGGAAATCTAGGAATGTGTTTTTACTACTATTAATGCAATCAAAACTTCCTTCTTGCTGTTATTGCTGTGTCAGCATGTCAATTCTATTCCAAATTGTTTTCAACTGCTAACTTACTAAAAGACCTGGAGTATAGCACGATCCACATTCTGGTTTTCATTCTAAACTTAACATAATTTATCTGAAATTATTCCCTTTCTTAAAGCTGTTTCTCTTGCTAGAATGTGCAAAATATGTGTACAATATGCAGCAGAGGAACGTTAATCTTCTGTCTTTCTCCCTATGCCCCCAAAAGTGCTGAAATTCTTCTGTGCATAAAGTAACTTCTACGTGTCTTTGTAGGCTGAAGGTCCCCTTCTGAATTTACCAATATTCCAACTCAGATGACAAAATCTATACAGCTGGTTAAATCACAGCTTTAAAAAAGCAGATGCAAAGAACTGATTACTGATTTATTTTCACCATCTAATATGAATGAAATGTAAAACGTAAGCAGACATAAGTAACATAAACTAGATCGTAAACCAGTGTTGTAATCATGTGAGATACTGGCAGCAGGTCAGAGTTTTCTTAGGAAATATATATTCTTTGGGTAAATATTTTATTTGCTATTTTCCCCTTAAGACTTTCTTTTTTTCAAAACTGACTGACTTGAGAATTCCCTGTATCTACGGTCTTTGACAAAAGACCTGTCCTTCAAAACTTATTCACACTTTAGTATTAAGCTTTTGCCCACAAAACTACATCAACATTTAAAAACTGAGAACAACACAAAAGTTGATGTAACAACAACAACAAAAAAACCAAAACCCAAACATGCTCACCAATGCAGTCCACGCTGAAGAGATTCACGGAGGTTGTTATGGAAGATTCATCACAGGTCTTCATTCCCCGCAGAGCAAACCGCACCAGGGAGGCTTTGACTCCCTCTGGCAGAAAGGACAGCAGGTAGACGGGCATGTAGAGCACGTAGCGCAGCTTGCACAGCAACGGGGTCATGAGCTTGCCTTGAGGGGACTGAGCCATACGCTCTATCGTCGGAAACAGCAGCACGGAGCGAAGAACCTGCCAGGCCACAAGAAAACGGCTGTCAGCAAAGTCCTACAGCACCGCAGCCCAGCCGAGCAGATGGAATTTTTAAACGAGTCTCCACTGGAAACGAAGTTGGGTTTCCAGGTGTTCTCCAGCCACCTCTGCAGCAGGATGTGACCCTGCCAGCGGGCAGCAGGTGGGAACCATCCCCCATCCCAGCCGGCCCCATGCCAGCAGAACCACACTGCTCTTCAGCACAACCGGCGAACTCAGTGAACCAACCAAAGAAATGAGAAGATGCCAGCCACTGTGACGGTGTCTGTACGGTTTAACAAGACACGGGGCTTTCAGTTTGCAGTTCAGCGTAGGTGGACTTGGTCAGAAAGGAGTCTGAGCACACAGCCCCTTCACTAAGGTGTGCACAGTGCTGCACAACACTGCTTTTTATACGTTATAACAAAACAGACATATTCTAAAGCTGGTTATTATTTTATGTTATGATAATAGAAAACACTGTAGCCTTAAAATAGAATGAAATTAAGGAAAAATCCACCCACACTAACCAAAAGTGAATGAATATACCTACTTTCAATTATATGTCAATATTAAGATCAAACAAATACTCTAAAAGGATACCTGCCACTTTTTCCTGGAAGTAAAAACATATTACAAGAATTCATATATGAAAAACCCTCAAAGACACACAACTACAATACCTAACAGAAGTACCAAGAAAGCAAAGTAAGAGAGATTTTGGATATTACATTTGCAGATAATGAATTATAAATTGCTGTGCTTTGCTGGTGACTCGACGTAAAAAAAACAGGCAGTTATACATAAATGTCTGCTTACTGCACATATCATTCTACGTATCACACAAATTAGATGTGTTTTTTTTGTAAAAAATATTTTAAAATCACTGTCTTTACTGTCCAACACGACTCCACTGACGGATGCCCCGGTGTCTGCGTGCAGTGCAGTGGTCGCAGCAGCTGCCCCGGGGAACGCAGGGGCTGCCCCTCCGCAAGGTGGCAAGGGTTGGGCGCTGGGACGGAGCAACCAGCAGAAATTCAGGCAGTATCCGTAACTTGCCATGCTCTGCTTTCCACAGCATTTTAAAAGCAGACTTTGAAAGTGCTATTTATATCGAATACAGGACTATTTTAAGAAATCCTTCTACTTTCCAGCTGATACTACTTTGGTTTTAGACAAAGAAAAATACATTCTCAGGGAAATCAATCCTGGGCCTCTTTTTATTAAAGGCAACCAGCAGCTGAAGTATAGGAATGCAAGACTTGTACTAAATTATATGGTAGTTTCGTGATATTTCAGCTAGGAGTTGAACTCAAACTGTTGTGATCTAAAGCAGATTTGACCTGCGTTCCCAGGCACACATTAATCCTTTGACATTACCGTTTCTAGATACAGGATTAGTTGCTTGGAGTGCTGTACCAACCACTGGGGGAAGCTGCTAAAACTTGGGAGGAAAAAGGACAAACCACAAAAGCTGTTACAATGGTCCGTGTATTCCTGAATTTTTTAATGGCAAACAAATTTAAAAGATGGTGTTTAAAATGGAGAATAACTTGATTTAATTTCTTTTTTTTTCATCTTTTGCAGACAATAATAGAAAACTGTAAATTTCCTATTTTGCAAACACTTTTTGACTGTTTCTTAATTTACTGCTAGTTTCCTGAGCCAGGATTTTGAAATGTGCATTTGCCTGCAGAATTGCTTAAAGATGCGGTTCAACTGCTTTGTAATGCAACTGTGGAGACAACAGATTTAACATATTTTATTATAATGACACACACATTCATAAAAAAGTATGTCATATTTGTGTCTTGAAATAAGTGAAGTAGAAATATACAGGTAAAATTAAGGAAATTAATGAGACTGAAATGCTCAACATAAGTTAATAATTTCTGCCTTGTCACATGCCAGGATGTCATCTATATGCAATTTACACTAGCTGAAATCAAGTAGGTGGCACAGAACTATATTCACGTTACAACTTTTGGAATTATTTTAAGGCCGGTCATTCTGAAGATGGACGATGCTGCCTATCATGAGCCGCAGGTCTTGTCACAGCTATGAACACCACACCACAGCACATACCATTAAGTAATGTGTAAAGGTTAATGACCCCTTCATTTACAGAAACCCTTCTCATACTTAATGACAGAAGTTTCTTGTGATAACAACCATTCAAAATGCCAAAAATGTTACACATAACTAGAGAGAGAAATCCAGATGCACCTGGTTTAAATTACCCCCAATTCAAAGCCCAGTGATTTTCGTTCTCCTTCAGCTCTACTCTGCCCTAGTGAGGCCTCATCTGGAGTACTGTGTCCAGTTCTGGGATCCCCAGTTCAAGAAAGATGAGGAGCTACTGGAGAGTGTCCAGTGGAGGGCTACGAGGATGATGAGGGGACTGGAGCATCTCTCCTACGAGGAGAGGTTGAGGCAGCTGGGCTTGTTTAGCCTGAGGAAAAGAAGGCTGCGAGGGGACCTTATAAATGCTTACAAATATCTGAAGGGTGGGTGTAAGGAGGATGGGGCCAAACTCTTTTCAGTGGTGCCCAGCGACAGGACAAGGGGCAATGGGCACAAACTGAGGCACAGGAAGTTCCATCTCGAGACCCGCCTGGACAAGGTCCTTTGCACCCTGCTGTAGGTGACCCTGCTTCGGCAGGAGGGTTGGACTAGATGACCCACGGAGGTCCCTTCCGACCCCGAACATTCTGTGATTCTGTGATTTTTATCAGGAAAGTGCATGGCAAGGCAGCGAGCTGGGCAACCAGACACACGGGTCACAGAGATTTGAGCAGACCTGAGGATTTCACAAAGCTGGCCAGCGAATCTACCGCAGGCAAACACGCCCTGCACCCACGAGTCGCGAGAGCTGCGGGTCGTACCACCTACCCTTGCTGTGCTTTGGTCAACCCGCTGAAACCAGTACGTGTGTTCTTACATTATACTGGAATTGTCACTGTTGATTGTTGTGACAATAAACAGTACTTGTAAAACTGCCATTCAACTTATTCAACAGTTACTTATTTAACGTGCTATTAAATTGCAAGATTTCAACACTCAGGATGATGCATGCATTAAAGATCACTCTGCAAGGCGGAGCTGATCTTTGAGTTAGTCACCAGGCAGTGCTTCTGTTTTCATCATTAATTTTTAACTCTTTAAATTACATAGGGCTCAAAGCCTGAATGGTTCAATGAACCGTAATATGATGCAGTGTCTCACAGGCTTTACATCTTGTTAACCACAAAAAGCTAACGTTATCTGCAAGCTCTTCACATAATCCGGTGTTGGTGCCCAGGCAGCTCCTAGTCCCTAGTCGCGCAGTGTATGTATCACTGAAAAAATGCAGAGGGCATGGCCTGAGCATCTGTCCAGAGCACAAACCGACCTAGAAACCCAGTATGTTCTGCCCTCTGTTCCTTCAACACACACCACAGTAGGAGCGTGTCGGGACTGTCGGAGTTTCACTTCTGTCACTGTATAAATTCTTTGGTGTCTAGAGTGATCAGTCTGTCAACCTCAGGTATGTATGACCTGCACAGTACATTTTACAACACGGAGGGAAGAGAAACTACTTATTTCTTAGGAAAAGTGAGCTCTCAAGGCAAATAATATTAAGTGCCTATTCCCTGAAAGCAGGGCATTGACCAAGGAGCTTTGTTTAGGCAGGAGCCTTAAATGAGTATGATTCACTTCATGTGATCACTGCTTCATACAAATGCTAACAAATACAACAAAGGCTTCCTCCAAGCTACCTATATAAAGAACATCTATGTTCCTGTATATTTGGGCTTTCTATCCAGCTTTTAATCTATCTAAAATAAGATGACAAGGTGACAACTGAGTATCTTCAAGTCTTCACTGGATAACGGTTATGTCAACATGTTTTCGATTTGCAGAAACAGAAGGTTTTTTTGTTCTTAATTAAAATAATAACAGAGTACAAAAAGCCAAATAATTAAATGTACAACGAATTGTTGTTTATCACTGCACAACTTCACAGTCTCAACCGCACCAGCAAAGGATTTTTGTAAAATGTTTAAATGATTTCTTTAGAAAAACACTAAAAGTCTGCAAATCAGATCAAGCCAGAAAAATTGCACAGTAATATTTTTCATTAATGCCTTCTACTGAAAGAGCTGAAATGCATTCATCAGCTATGACCTGAAGTTTGAGTGGGTAACACTACTTGTTACAGGGACTGGTAAAGGACAGTGTTGAGGATATAACACCATGCTTAAAAACTAGAAGCCACTTACAACCAGTATTCAAAAGAGTGACATGATTCTCAGAGCTGTTAACTCCTCTGATGCCAAGGAGGGGAGCTCAACACTGCTGAAATCAGGCGGTTTTGGTTACGCACAAGACACGCTGGTTACAGGCTCAGGCACCTCAGGCGCACCTTCCCGAGGTCACACAGGCACTGCAGCTGCCACACCGTGCCGCTTGCTCTTAATACAGAGGGATGTTTTGCTAAGAGGAAGAAAACGGGAGAACAGCAGGCAGGACGTGAAAAAGCAGACGCTGACTGACAGAAAGGAGTAGCAGCCATTTTAAAGATTTGTTTCACAAGAGAACCCAAACAGCCAGGCTTTCTCAGTCCCAACACCTCGCAGACACATTCAGATCTCTCTACCAAAGTCGTAAAACAAGACTCTGACCCACTGAAGAAAATACCCCTCCTACCAGGGAGGGCTATTTTCCACCAGAAAGTGAAACTTCCTCAGAATTAACCCACTGGTTCACTCTGCTTTAACAGTAGAAGAAGCAGTCACTGGAGGCTCACATTGACTTTTGAGTGGGGCAGGTTTTGGAAAGTATTTGCTCAACAAAAAGAACACGAGACCTACATCCAGCACGGGTTACACCAGCTCAGAGCCCAGGAGGAAATCCCGAGATCAAATCAGCGGGCATAAGCAAGGAAGCAGTCTATTAGGTTTTCTAACTGACCCATCACACCGACCGATGGTCAGTGAAGAAGCATCCAAATACAGTTC